TTTTTTTTTTTTTTTTTTTTTTTTTTTAGCAAAAACTACCAGATTGGTTTTTTTTGTTTTTTTTTAGCAAATAAATAGTGTACTAGATTGGCCTGAATATAATAACACCACGTGGCAGGACTCCTATAAAGTTTCAGAACAATGTCAGAATCTTTTTTGTCCTTTGGGGTTATTGTAAAGATCTTAGACATTTATAAATATACCGGAAGGAGAATGGAGGTTGGAGACTAGGGAAATAGTGGGGAAAATAAGGAGGGTTCAGATAAAAAGAACAAAAATGAATCTTCTCATTAAGAAGATGACAGAAATAGCCACTTCCTGTTATCTAGAACATCTCTACTTTCCATTGCTAGAGGTGTGTGTGATGAGTGAATGAATGAAACACTTACAGTTGCATCCTAGGTTGGTGATCTCTGCCACGTCTTGGATGTAATTTAGCTATCTGTTCCTCAAAACCTTGTATTTATTGGAAGGGCTCTCCTTCCTTCGTTCCAGCTTCGACCTCAGAAAAAAATTAATGGGACTACTCAGAGTAATATATGGGCCCCCAATTTATGTTGAAACTCAAATACTTTGGCCACCTAATGAGAAGGAAGGACTCACTGGAGAAGAGCCTAATGCTCGGAAAGATTGAGGGCAATAGAAGAAGGGGACGACAGAGAATGAGGTGGCTGGATGGAGTCACTGAAGCAGCAGGCGTGAGCTTAAACAGACTCCAGAAGATGGTAGAGGACAGGAAGGCCTGGAGGAATGTTGTCCATGGGGTTGCGATAGGTCGGACACGACTCACAACTAACAACAACAACAAATATGTATAGAGGTAGTCCTTGACTTACAAGAGGAACCGTTTGAAGTCACAGTTATGACTGTTGTAGCATCCCCATGGTTCCATGATTTACATTCAGATGCTTGACAACCAACTCACATTTATGATGGTCGCAGTCCCTCAGAATTATGTGATCCCCTTTTGCGACCATCTGACAAGCAAAGTCAATAGGGAAACCAGATTCACTGAACTTACTAATTTCTTACTAATTTCACAACTGCAGTGATTCGCTTAACAAAGGTGGGAAGAAAAGTCTTAAAGTGGAACAAAACTCACTTAACAAGTTTCTCACAACAACATCAATTTTGGGTTCAGTTGTGCTTGTAAGTTGAGGATGTTGTATGTATACGTGCATTTGTCTATGTGTATATAGGTTGTGTGTGTGTGTGCATAAACACTATATATAAATTGTGAATGTACAGAACATTCTCAAGGACTTATTGACTATAGGTTAAAATATATTAGAATTACTTCATTCTCACATGCTTTTACCTCTTAAACTTTAGAAAAGGAATTATTTTGCTTTGTGAGAAGAGGAAGAAAAGAACTCCAGTTTCATCCAAACAAAAATCTTCTGGCTTTATATTAATAATGACCTCAATTCTGACCATTAACTTGGAATTAATGACCAGTTAAGGTTAATGGCCCCAAGGTCTTGAGTCATTAAACTGGGAGGAAATACCCTGTTCTTTGATCGTTATTCCTTTATTAAAGATGGGTGAGCTTTTTTTTTTTAAAAAAAGGGGGGGGTCTCAAGATGATCTAATGCTAACAGTGAATGCAAGCATTGTGCTACATATATTTTAGCATCTGGAATGGACTCCCAAGCAAAAGAACTCAACTGCTTCCAATACTAATCTAGTAATGTCTGACATAGCTAAACTATTTGAAATTCACCTCCATCTCGAGGATGCAACGAAAAGTGGGTACAATGTAAACTGAAAATACTCACTGAGAACTTATAAATTGTTCTGTGCCTCTCTCAATATAGGGTTAACCATATCTGGGCTGCAAAAATCAGAACTGGCACTAGATTGTTGGTATTCCCAAATTCATAGTCCTATTTTCATGATTGCCTTTCTCTCCCTCTCTCCCTCTCCCTCCCTCTTCCTCTCCCTCTCCCTCTCCCTCTCCCTCCCTCCCTCCTTCCTTCCCTCCCTCCCTCCCTCCCTCTCTCTCTCTCTCTCTCTCTCTCTCTCTCTCACACACACACATACACACACACACACACACACATACACACACACACCTATCTATAGATTGATCTATCCATCCATCCATCCATCCATCCATTGTGATGCAGCTATTAAACAAAGTCTAGAAAACTACACATAAATATTCCACTTAGTCCTACTATTCTTGAACATGGAGATAATGATTTTCACATTCACTTTTTATGTTAGATGCTTTCATGAGTTTATTGCATGAAATCATCCTTGGCAGTAAACAATGCTCAACAAGGTCTCTTGGAGATCACGTGTTTCAGGAGGCCATCTCTTGTACCCTGCATGGCTCTGAGGTTCCATGAACGAAGGAAGAAGTGCAGAAGAACCACCCTTCAGAAGACTTCTTTCTCCCATTGTTGTGCTTGTGCAGTTGTTCCAAAGGCAGACACAACACATTTCAAAACCCTTTGACGAATCCTTGGGGAGCAGATGTAAAGTCCCAGCACAATGGTTTCTCCAGAATGGTTTATAAACAATCAACCTTCTTCTGACTAATGTACCATATTTAAAGCAAGATTTTTCACTACATAGAACAAGGGTTAAACGATAACTTGACTTATCTTTTACATGACAAAAAATAAAGAAATTGCAAGACCTTTTCACATATTAGATATGTATTGTCATTTATCATCTAGATATCGGAGTAGTAGTGCAAGGTAATAAAACATATCATCGAAAAAATGTGCTATAGGTCTGAATCACTCTCCCATTCCACCTCCCAGCTAACTGTAGTATTAAATCAAACAAGCAGAACATTTCCTTGGGCAGGCATTGCCTTTTAATTTCCTGAAGAACCTTAAAATATCATTCATTACAAGTACTACACATATTTGGTTTTTAAAAGTCTCATAAATCAATAGCAGGCTGACTGTAATAATTATTACAAGTTAGTGCATAATTTTCGTGCTGAAGGCTCCATGTAGAACTTTAGCATATGCAAACGAGGCAATTCAAACTGTGTATAGATATTAATATGAAGAAGCAGGTAACGAGGTGCCGGCTATGAATTATGCATCAAGCGCGGCTGATCTTCAATGAAGAAAATGAATTCAGCATGTAATCTAATTAGTGATGGAAGTCTATTACATCTAACTGCAAAAGCAACCGTCCTTGAAACAAATTTATTTACAGTCCATGTTACCAATTGAAACAACTTTGAAATGATGTGTAAGACAACAGCTTAATTGTAAACTTTTTTTTTTTCTTCTGCAGCTCCAGACCTGGGAGGCCTCCAAAACGGACACAGAGTGTGACCTCTCCAGAGAATTCCCACATCATGCCCCATTCTGTTCCTGGTCTTCTCTCACCAGGAATTATCCCACCGACAGGTAGGAACTCTTAAACATGGACTAGAAAGTCTTCAAATCATTTGCCTTTGTGGCATCAGAAGGGGACCTACTGAAAGCTGTAGGTCTCCAGGTTGAGTGGTTCAATCCATCCACCATTTTGTATTCCAGGGCTGTGGCTTCTTCAAAATGAAACTGTCTTTTGGCTTGTTGGTATGACATGTTAGGTTTCATACTTGACCAGGAAAGTTGGTTTTATAGCCAGCTGAAGAGGACTTCTTGTCTTTAGCTACCAATGAGCAGTTGTCCACCCTGCTCATAGGTAGACCAGACCAAGAAATCAACTTCAGAGAAAGGTTAAATTCAATTTATTGAGATTGGCCGTAACAACAGATCCTTGAAATTCTGATTGTGTTGAATCTTCTCCTTCTTATACCTCAGTGAATTAAGGAGGCACCTGCCCAACTCACTTCCAAAGCTTGTCCTTTTTTCCTGGACTTTAAAATAATGCTTCAGCCCCCTTTGCCTGGAGAATGGTTCCTACATATCTCCCATCAACATCATTTTCCTTATTCTCCACAGTGCTTCCTTTTGGAGGTACCCAAAACATAAGAGCGAGCTAGCCATAATATAGAGAGCCAGGTTGGTCCAGTGCTTAAGGCACCAGTCTAGAAACCAGGAAATGGTGAGTTCTAATCCCACCAGGATTAGGGGACTGGAGGCTAAAACATATGAAGAACGGTTACAGGAACTAGGCATGGCTAGTCTAATGAAGAGAAGGACCAGGGGAGACATGATAGCAATGTTCCAATATTTGAGGGGCTGTCACAGAGAGGAGGGGATCACCCTATATTCCAAAACACCTGAAGGCCAGAGAAGGAATAATGGATGGAAACTGATCAAGGAGAGATTCAACCTAGAAATAAGGAGAAATTTTCTGACAGTAAGAACAATCAACTGATGGAACAGATTACCCTCAGAAGTTGCGGGAGCGTTGTCAATGGAAGTTTTCAAGATGAGACTGGACTGTCAGAAATGGTGTAGGGTTGCTTGCTTGAGTGGGGGTTAGATGACCTATAAGGTCCCTTCCAACTCTGTTATTCTATTCTATTCTATTCTATTCTATTCTATTCGATTCGATTCGATTCGATTCGATTCGATTCGATTCGATTCGATTCGATTCGATTCTCAGCTGGGTGATCTCAGGCTAATCACTCCATCTCAGACCTAGGAAGGAAGCAATGGTAGACCACTTCTGAAACCCAAGAAAACTGAAGGAATTTGTTCAAGCAGTCCACAAGAATCAGGCATGGTTGAACAGAAAGTGGGGAAGCCATACTACATATTAAGGATATTAGAAAATTTAATGATGTTTGGTTTAGGACAACGCAGGTCCCAGTTCCTATTCAGTTAATAAGCGTGTAGAAACTTTTTAGCATAAAAAAAATTATGTTTGTTGTAAAGATAAAAGAATCAAGCTGCTAGTTCAGCCAGCAATGAAATAAGGTAAATGAAAACTTGAAAAAGAAAGAAAAATAAATAAAGAAGACAACTGGAAAGAAGGGGAAATATAATGAATATTAAGTCTCTGGGGATATTTGAAAATACAGATCTACAGATTTCTTTTTTCTCTCTGCCTACTCACCTTATTTTTTTTTCTCTTTCCTTTACTTCACCGACTATTCATTTCATTCTCTGTCTCTCTGTGTGTATTTAAATTTCCTGATCTGCTGTTTGATGATTGCTGGAAAATTCTCTCATTTATATAAAAAAAGTATCTTTTTATTTTACACACTGTTGGTTTTGTGCATGTAGTATGTCTTTATTTGAAAAAAAAAATGAATATGGAAATAATGGAAATTTCACGTGATTTGCTGTAAATAGGAATGAATGCGTTAGAGGAGTCAGCCAGAGAGAAAAAGAATCATTTCCAAAAATATGTATATATTCTGTGTTATGCTAGATTCCTAGGTGCCTTTTCTGTTCCCCATCTCCTTTAGGTTAAGAAATAATAATTGCAAGCAATAATGATAATTCTTGCCTACTTAATAGTCGCATACATGGATTTTCCTAGCTTTTGTAGGAAATGAAGTAAAATGTGTTTTGTATTTCTGAAATCTTGTTTCAGTGATCACCTTCTTTAAGGAAGTGTAATAAGCCACCCAGTGATCACATTTCAACTGAAACAAGGTGGCCATCCAGAGATCACCTTGGAAGAATCAAGAGATGTTGGCTGGTTGTCCTTGATCTTGTATCATCTGCCTTCTTTTGTATTTTCACATGTTTAACTGCTTAATCAGAATATTCACCAGTAGTAGGAAATGATCTTAAGGTTAACTCAGCCTTTTAAGAGTCTGTATAATTCTCGATGTGAACAGCAATTTCCCACTTTGCTAACAATAGCAATAGCAATAACAACAATAACAATAATAGAGTTGGAAGGGACCTTGGAGGTCTTCTAGTCCATCCCCCTGCTCAGGCAGGAAACCTTATACCATTTCAAACAAATGGTTGTCCAGTCTCTTCTTAAAAACTTCCAGTGTTGGAGCATTCACAACTTCTGAAGGAAAGTTGTTCCACTGATTAATTGTTCTACCTGTCAGGAAATTTCTCCTTAGTTCTAGGTTGCTTCTCTCCTTGATTAGTTTCCATCCGTTGCTTCATGTCCTGCCTTCAGTTGCTTTGGAGAATAACTTAACTCCCTCTTCTTTGTGGCAACCCCTAAGATATTGGAACATTGCTGTCATGTCACCCCTAGTCCTTCTCTTCATTGAACTAGACATACCCAATTCCAGCAACCATTCCTTAGATGTTTTAGCTTCCAGTCCCCTAATCATCTTTGTTGCTCTTCTTTGCACTCTTTCTAGAGTCTCAACGTCTTTTTTACATCGTGGTGACCAAAACTGGATGCAGTATTCCAAGTGTGGCCTTATCAAGGCATTGTAAAGTGATATTAACAGCTTCTCCTGGAACATTTTACAGTTCTAATGGAAGAGACACACCAGAGTCCCTCCTTTAATGGGGATGTAAGAATTACACAGCTCTGTTTCCCCAGAAGTGTGAAGCTCCAGGGCTGTTTTTATTATGGCCATTCTTTGGCAAGGAGTGATTACTAGAGGCTTATGGCTCTTTGTAAAAAATAGCCTTTCTTCAGAAATAGACAATATGAAGGCAGCTGAAGGTAGAGAGTATATGAGACTCATAAGTCTATTGCCATGCCTTAAATTCCCATGGAGAGCCCCATCTCAAGGAGAGACTACTGGCAGTATTTCTTTAGCCAGTTTTCACTCATCTGCTAATGTTTCTGGGTTTTGTTGATATGCAGATGCAACCAGGCAGTTAAAGAGGAACTTTTGTTTATTAATTTTCATTTATCATATTTAAAGACCACCCATCTCCTTCACAGAGTGGTAAAGGGCAGTGTACCAAAGCAAAACATCTCAGCTTGTCCAAAATAGTCAAAAAAGCAGGGAGCTGTTGGTTCATAAGTACAGTTGCAAAATCTACAGGCAGATAACAAATCACCTTGAAATAACCATGCATTATCTTGAAACTTGAGAAGAGGAATGGAATTGGAGTACATGAGTGGTGTCAGCCTAGGAAAAGATCTCCTGAGTTTAAAGCAGGGATCTTCAAAGTTGGCCCTTTTATGACTTGTGGACTTCAACTCCCAGAATTCCCCAGCCAGCATGAAGTCCACAAGTCATAAAAGGGCCAAGTTTGAAGACCACTGGTTTAAAGGGTTCCTGATGAGTGTCATGCTGATCCTGCATGGACCACTGATGATGTTCCCTAGTCAGGTTATGAAATGTCTATAACTAAGCTCAGAGAGCAGGATTCTGCAACCATGCTTCGTACTCACAAACAAACCAATGTTATGTATCTGTAGTGGACTGCAGTGGATAATGGCTGGGTGATAGTTTATTTATTTATTGGTTTGTTTATTTTATTATTAGTATTTCTACGTTGCTGTATTCCCAACAGCCTGAGTGGCCCAGGATATGAATGAAACTTAATCTAGACAAAATAGAGTTGTTGATAGGAGATGGTAAACCATACTTTTCTGGAGGGGGCTACAGCCTTCCAGAATGATAAACTTGGAGATGAAATTTCCCAGTTTCAGTTTAATTTTTGTGGAAGAAATTGTCTTAAAATCTGAAGTTCGCTTGGGATAAAGTTCATGGAGAACAGGAGAATCTCCATGTATAAACCCCTTCTAGTGGTTGATGGACTCATCTGTACTTATTGTGGGTCATGTCAAGTTGAATGGAAGGTCCAACCTCTTTGCTTGCTTTTTTAAATAATCCGTAGACAATAAGGCCACACACAAAACCCCTAGACAATATGGCCAATCCTTTCTAGTATCTATAGCCCTATTATGGCCTTAATATTTTTTTGCCCACATTCTGGAGAACTCAGTAGCTTGTTACTGAAATAATAGAATAAAAAGAGAGGAGAGGTTTCTGGCTTTTTTTCCCCAGCAAATGCCAGACAGGGCTGAAGAACTTTCTAACTGGGGAAGTTAGGAAAGATTTCTTTGGGTGTGTGCAAGGTCCCTTCTGCACAGCTGCCCATTCCACGGAAACCAATGGAGGGTTATAACATGATTTCCAGCAACTGTGACTTTTGCACAAACTCCTAGCTGAGAGCTAAATGTGGTGAACTGTGCCCTGTGTTGCAGGACAATAGTTCAGTGATTCTTATTGTGTGTGAGTGGTGCCCTCCAGAAACAAATTAATTCAATAATTAAAGGCTGCTGTGATTGCATATTATCCATTCATGGCCCAGGCGTCCTGCCACGTCTCTGAAGGATACCTGGTGTGAGTTGCCTTCAAGAGGGAGACCAACTCCTAAGGCTCCTCCGAGGCCGTTTCTTCCTCATGTACCTTCTGCAAGCCAACCGTTTTGAAGATAAGTAGATGTGTTGCCATATCACTTGAGGGAAGGATGTGTCTGAATTGGCTGATGCCTGGCAAAGAGCTACAGGAACAGCTGTGGCTCTCAGTTCCCCATGGAGAAGGGATTATAGAGCCCAGTGTAAC